ATGATTCTTCTGAAGACCACAATCTTCATTCTCTGTCTTCAATTGTGGATAGTATTGTGGTAGAGGATGTAGCTGTTGTGTTCCAGGAAGAGAGATCTCAGAACTGAAGCAGCAGCCAACAGTAGCCATCTCTTCATTTTAGTCATCACCAGCACATTGTAAAATAGAAGAAACAGAATACTAGAACTTTATAATTAGGAGATATTTCTATTCTCACTAATACTGAATGATATTCCAAATAGGGGAAAGTGCCCAGCTAACACTGGATGGCATTTCATTTCCCAGTTCTGGCTGTTCTAGATAACAAATGAAACCACTTATCCAATTCCATATGCCTGAAAGTGGTTTTGTTTTTGTTTTGTAACCCCTCAAACCTAGGCAAGTTAGTGAGAGATGCCTAATCATACTCATTTAAGCTTCTGCCTGGTTTTCAAAAAGAATATTGTGAGTTCAATGAAAAATATGGATCTGAGTAGCATGTCCAATGTCATTTGATGTATTACTGCAAACACGAATTAAGGTTTAAAGAAATAACAGAACAGCATGCTAATGAAAACGTGTTTCCTTCCCGGTTTTTATAAATGTTCCTTTGGGGGCCAATTTTTTTTTTTTATTGTGGGTGTGTGCAAATGTTGTGTGTGTTTTAAAAAGATGCTATTCGACCAACTTCTTTTGGCAGTTAGTTTGCAATTTCCAGGCGCAAAAACTGTAGAAAATGCTGCCACTAGTTTTCTCTTTCCCTTTCTTCTTTTTTTATTTTTACTGTGTGCAGTTATCATTTTTGTATTTTGCTAATTTATTGTGAGATTTTTTAAAAAATAAAAAATAAAGGTTTTCTTTGCTTAAATTTATTTTGAGATGGCATGGAATGCTCTCTTGGTTTCTTTTTGAAAGTACTAAAAATACTCCCTGAAAAAGAAATGTATTTCATACAAATTATATTCTCTGTATATCTTTTGAGCCCACCACTTCCCCTTTCAGTGCTACATTTGATACATCTTCTTTTCTTTGCCAATACAAAACTTAGCAAATGGGATGAATCTCCAGGTATACAAGAGACATACTTTAACTATTAGACCCCAGGATAATTTATTCTAATTATCATCATACATATGCAAAAACACAGAGGGGGGACAGTTCGGTGGAGATGCCATCCTAGCAATAGCACAGATTTTCTTGTTGATTACCTTACAAAATTAATGACAGAATATCAGTCCATTTTTCTCATGAAAATTCACTCTGTGACTTTGGGCCAGGCACTCTCTCCAGACTCCAATGTACATCACTGGGTTGTTTGTGGTGGTGGGGGGAATGGAGGAAGAAGTGTTATGTATGCCCAGGGTGGGATTCAAAATTCTTAACAACCAGTTCTGAGGGCATGGTCTAATTTGTGGGTGTGGCTTGGTGATCATGTGACTGGGTGGGTGTGGCTTGTACGTAAATATTTATGCAAATATTGTATATACACTGCTTAAAAAAATAAAGGGAACACTTAAACAACACAATGTAACTCCAAGTCAATCACACTTCTGTGAAATCAAACTGTCCACTTAGGTAGCAAAACTGATTGACAATCAATTTCACATGCTGTTGTGCAAATGGAATAGACAACAGGTAGAAAGCAGAGGCAGTTAGCAAGACATCCCCAATAAAGGAGTGGTTCTGCAGGTGGTGACCACAGACCACTTCTCAGTTCCTATGCTTTCTGGCTGATGGTTTGATCACTTTTGAATGCTGGCGGTGCTTTTACTCTAGTGGTAGCATGAGACGGAGTCTACAACCCACACAAGTGGCTCAGGTAGTGCAGGTCATCCAGGATGGCACATCAATGTGAGCTGTGGCAAGGTTTGCTGTGTCTATCAGTGTACTGTCCAGAGCATGGAGGTGCTACCAGGAGACAGGCCAGTACATCAGGAGACGTGTAGGAGGCCGTACGAGGGCAATAACCCAGCATCAGGACTGCTACCTCCACCTTTGTGCAAGGAGAGACAGGAGGAGCACTGCCAGAGCCCTGCAAAATGACCTCCAGAGGGCCACAAATGTGCATGTGGCTGCTCAAACGGTCAGAAACAGACTCCATGAAGGTAGTATGAGGGCCCGACGTCCATAGGTGGGGGTTGTGCTTACAGCCCAACATCATACAGGACGTTTGGCATTTGCCAGAGAACACCAAGATTGGCAAATTCGCCACTGGCACCCAGTGCTCTTCACAGATGAAAGCAGATTCACACTGAGCACATGTGATAGACATAACAGGGTCTGGAGATGCCATGGAGAACGTTCTGCTGCCTGCAACATCCTCCAGCATGACCGTTTTGGCAGTGGGTCAGTAATGGGGTGGGGTGGCATTTCTTTAGGGGGCTGCACAGCCCTCCATGTGCTTGCCAGAGGTAGCCTGACTGCCATTAGGTACCAAGATGAGATCCTCAGACCCCTTGTGAGACCATATGGTGGTGCAGTTGGCCCTGGGTTCCTCCTAATGCAAGACAATGCTAGACCTGATGTGTCTGGAGTGTGTCAGCAGTTCCTGCAAGACAAAGGCACTGATGCTATGGACTGGCCCGCCCATTCCCCAGACCTGAATCCAATTGAGCACATCTGGGACATCATGTCTCGCTCCATCCACCAACGCCACGTTTTACCACAGACTGTCCAGGAGTTGGGGGATGCTTTAGTCCAGGTGTGGGAGGAGATCCCTCAGGAGACCATCCTCCACCTTATCAGGAGCAAATGCCCAGGCGTTGTAGGGAGGTCATACAGGCAGGTGGAGGCCACACACACTACTGAGCCTCATTTTGACTTGTTTTAAGGACATTACATCAATGTTGGATCAGCCTGTAGTGTTTTTTTCCACTTTAATTTTGAGTGTAACTCCAAATCCAGACCTCCATGGGTTGCTAAATTTGACTTCTATTGATAATTTTTGTGTGACTTTGTTGTCAACATATTCAACTATGTAATGAACAAAGTAATTAATAAGAATATTTCATTCATTCAGATCTAGGATGTCTTATTTTTGTGTTCCCTTTATTTTTTGAGCAGTGTATATATACAATATATATATATAACTTTTACCCAAAATCAGGCAAAGCAGATTGAGTTGCTTGCAGAATCACAGATTCACTCACAGATCTACCTTCCTGCAATCTGTTACCTGAGTCTGCACTTAAAAATAGAAGCTTCAGTCCTAAGGAAGGTTCGGCTCTGCTCTTGGGCCACTTCTCCCCCACCCCCCAATCCCCTGATACCACCCCTGACTGGGCCTTAGGGAAGCCTCCTGGGAGAAGGCAAAGCAGTACAACAGTGATTTAGATTAGCTAGAAAGAAGAAATCCGACAGGAGGGGAGGGGAGGGGCCAGCCAGTGGCGCGATTTGCCAGTTCTCCGAACTGCACAGAATCGTAACAACCGGTTCTATAGAACTGGTCCGAACTGGTAGAATCCCACCCCGTGTATGCTGCCTTGAATTCCTGAAGAAAAAGTGGGATATAAAACTAACAAATAGATAAATATAGGTGTATAAATATAGGTGTATAGTCAACTTGATATTCTTAGTTTGAAACCTCTATATTCTATACTCTGAGGCTATTTGAAAAACATGAGGTCATTTTATTTTCAGTGCAATCCTCTGATCCTATATTTCCCTTAAACAGAAAAAGCCATGGAAATACTATGAATAGCAATTCATTTTTTAAAAATGTAATATCGCAGTTGTGTTGTAGACATATGTTGTTATTTCCCTTATTTCTTTTCCTGAAGCTAAAATTGAAAGATACTATAGCCACCATAATTTTTTGCCATTAAATCATAAGAAAAAAAAGGCAGGACATTGGATATTCTTACTCAATAAACTCAATCCAAAAAGAGAAGCTAGACACTGAAAAATAATGTTGCAAAATGTGCTTTCAACATAAATTCAGAAACATGTATCAACTATTAGCAGTCCGGGATACAATTCTCTCCTTGTCTGCAGTGTATACTGGTAGAAAAACAACAAAAATAGCACATAGTTGTGAAATTGACAAAAGAAGCCAGCACATCAACAGACACAAAATGTTCTGTGTGGGTCACCCAACAGAGGTGTTTTGTGTTTCCAGCACTGAGCTCATCTTGCCTGAATAACTCGTTGCTAAAGGAAAATGCTCATGTATTATTAATATGACCAATTTAAAACATCATAATGAACGGTATCCAGCCATGTCAGCCATGTTTATTCTCTTTCTCAGCCAGAGAAATTGCAGGAAACCCCACATAGCATTTAAGGGACTGTCTGTCCTCAGTCACAATGCCCATCCCACCAGGTGTAGCAGCGGGGGCATGTTACTATGTCTGCTAAAGCTATCCATCTAACGGGACCCAGAGATTATTAGCCTTTTCTGCTGTGGAACTCATCCTTTGGAACATGATTGATTCCCCCTGAGGTGAGATTAACCCCAACTTGATTGTTGTCTTCACATGTATGGTAATTTTTTTTTTGCAACAAGTTTGGGGATCCCATCAAAGAGTTCGTGACATGATTGTATTATATGTGAGATGTTGGTTTCTGATCTTATTTATATTTTCTCTTAATAGTTTTATTGATTAAGATGTTTTTGTTGGTTTTATTGTACATTACCCAGAGTCACATTAGTAATATGGGCAATTAAATAAATTTTACATACTATGATGATAGCTGCTATATAGCTACGGTAGCTAGCTAAATCAAGAGAGAGATGGAGGGAGGGAGGGAGGGAGGGAGGGAAGGAGGGGGAGAGGGAGAGGGAGAGTGGAATAAATCTTCCAACTGGAATAAGTAAATGAGATAAACCTTTCAGTTTGACTACATTTGTGATATGATTCTGAAGAGAGACGCTGCATTCACGTAGAAGACAAGTATGAATCAATCAGCCTTGTTTTAAAATCAGATTTATTGGAACACACATACACCCATTCCTGACCTATTTGCAGGGTTTGGAATCCATGCAGTACCAATATAACAAAAGAAAGAGATTATTCATATAAAGGGATCACTTACTCTGTAAATTAAAAAAATATTTAATACTGTATTAGGCAAGTCGTACACCAAAAAAGACATTGCAACTGTACAGTCTCTTGGATATTGCACTTTCAAACAGCACTGTATGAATATATGGCATTCCAGCCACCAAGAAATACCACATCAGTAATAGGGGGGCACACAAGGCAAAAGGCATCATGAAGAGACAAACAGATCCTACCCTAGGAGAGAGAAATAGTAACAGCTAAAATTTTGGGGGGATCACAGGCTACCTGTAGATGCAGAGAGAAGGAAGGGGAATTTTCTGTCTGTCTATGTGGAAAAGATAAGAGTATTCCTGGTATAGCCAAAAGAGATGTCCAAGAACATGTTCTGCTTTCCCAGCATCGGGTTTAATTTTCTTCTATACATGAACATGGGATCTAAGAAAAGCCCATACAAAACCTGCTTGGTAACCAACCTCTCCCTTCTCTCCATCAAGCACCAGTCCATTTTGTTTCTAGCCTGGGTATTTCTTAACTGAGGACCTATGTTGTCTATGGTCTTGTGGCGCGATGAGAAGGTCCAGCAGAAGCCCAATGCACCTGAGGAAGAGTTCAGAGCTGGGCTTTCCCATCTTCATTTGCCTTGTTTCTTGGTGATTGTCTGATTAGGTCCAAACTGTACAGTAGGAACAAGCAGCTTCAGCTGCCCTCAGGCATAATGGCAGAGTGTAGCACAGGCAGACAATGGTGCAAGAACTGCTGCAGGCCAGCATTAAGGTGCACCCACTTCTTACCAAACCTATGTCAAAATCATTGTGTCATACATAGTGCAGACTTAGAGACAGAGAAACCTGTTCTCTTTCTCAAATGAGGGTATCTTTAAAGCTGAGGGAAAATATTTAATTGGGATTTAAGGATACCAAACAGGAGATCAGAGGGTTGTATACAAGCAAGAGAAAGAAAGTTCTGCTGGCCATGAGGCCTAAAACAATTGACCAGTAGCTTCTGTTCTTTGGAGCTAAAGAAGCAGGCATAATCTCCTACTCCCGGAAAGCAGCCAGCATATAACCATAAAGATAGTGGGAATGTGCTGCAAAAGATCAGAAAAAATGGGACAATTAGACTTCAATAAGAAAGGAAACTGTACTGTGAGAAATTTGTTCTGCATTTGTTTTCATTCTCAACTGGAAATCTAATTTTGCTTTACAACAGCAATCAAGGTTGTCCTGAAATATGGACTGTTTGTTGACAAAATCATTTCACCTTCTGCGTCTATGCACTTTCCTGTAGAATTGGATCACAATTTTTAAAACTGCAGGCTTTCAGATTCAGTCCTAATACATTTAAAGGGCACCTGCCTGGAAAGAGCTCACCTACAGTATTTTAAAGGAATATTGAAGAAAAACTTATTTAGCTTCATGTTCTCACCAGTGGTGGGATTCAATTTTTTTTACTACCAGTTCTGTGGGCGTGGCAGGGGAAGGATACTGTAAAATCTCCAGTCAGAGGTGACACTTGCCGGTTCTCCAAACTACTCAAAATTTCCACTACCGGCTCTCCAGAACTGGTCAGAACCTACTGAATACCACCTCTGGTTCTCACATGGCACCTTCAATAACTATTCAGTAGGGCCAGCTGTAAAGGGTGACAGGGCTAGGCATCCCGAAAGGATGAATTCAAGTGAATGACCCACATTGCCGAAAACATATGGGAGAATCTCTTGAGTGGTTGATGTCTCTTTCCTCTGACAGGTTACATGATTCCATTAAGGTTGCCTCACTTGAAATTTTCAAAACAGTGGCACTGGCACATTACATCACTAGGCCTTTATTGAAGAGGCAGAATGGATTCTCTACTGATTAAACATAGACCTCGCAGAACAAATGGCAGGCACAAGCAAATAAATGGGTGATGCATCTAGAATCCCCAATAAACAAGGACATGTCTGTTTTTGTCTCTGTTATCAATATCAATGTTGATGTTGCCTTGGGGAGGAAGGGATAAAGTTTGCTATCTTTATCCAACAGCTGTCATCTTCACTTCCACAGAGACCTTCCCTGCCTCTATTCAGCACATTCCTAATGCTCCCTCCTCTTTGTTATTATAACCCACTAAGATTTTGTGGACATTTCAGGCACTTGCATCTCTTATAGCATGTAACCAAGCTGATCGGTATCCTGCTGTGTGGAGAAAACATCCCCAATAATCTGGAGTAGAAAAAGGTGCCTAAAAGCTCTACTGTGGTAATTGATATGTCATAAAATAGATCTTTAGTGCAAATGTTATAATTATTAAAATGGTTTTGAATACAGTTTCCTTTTAATAAATGTTTTGAAAAGATTTCATTTCACTCTAGGATACTGTTATTGTTATTCATACTGTTAGAGCCATTTGATAGCTATCCTTTCCTGTGTAATTTGAGTTAAAATATAGTATTCTCTCATATACTATTAGCATATTTTCTTTATTTTATTTTTTTATTCTTTCTTTCTTTTAATTTCTTTCTTTTATTTTTCTTTCAAGAAGCTCAGAAGAACAACTTGTTCAAAAACATTCAGAGCGCTTCACAGCCGGGCAGGAATCCATATCAAAACCAACAAATCTTATTTTAAGCCATACTTTCTACTGTTTGCTGTCCAACATTATTTTATCCATTTAAGGGATGAAGCTGGAACTAAAAAAGTCAATTATTTTCATCAATTCTTTTTTGGCTCATGTCATACAACAAAATTTCTTGGTTGGAGGAGAATGTTTTCTTTTTTCCTTAATATTGTTTCTTGAAAATTAAATGTAGGGAGAACTGGTTTTGTGCCCTGCTTAAACATGAAGACATGGACTAAACAGATTATTAATAGATAAAGTTGATTAAGCCATGCCCAGTAATAGGTAAAAAAAAATCTGAGTTTAGCAACATGAAGGTAAAGAACTGAATTTGGTAGCGGTAGTCCTCAGCTTACAATCACAACTGAGCCCAAAATTTTTGTTGCTAAGTGGGACAATTGTTAAGTAAATGCTGTCCCATTTGACAGCCTGTCTTGCCACAGTTGTTAAGTGAATCACTTCAATTGTTAAGTTAGTAACATGGTTTTTAAGTAAATCTGGCTTCCCTATTGACTTTCCTTGTCAGAAGGTTGCAAAGACCCAGGACACTGCAACAATCATCAATATGAAATCAGTTGCCAAGCATTTGAATTTTGATCATGTGACCAGGGGATGCTGCAACAATAAATAAGTCACTTTTTTCAGTGCCGTTGTAACTTCAAACGGTCACTAAATGAACAGTTGTAGCCAAGGACTACCTATACTTCAAGTAATTTCTGGTTTCATCCATTATTTTCCGGATCCTCTGTGGAATGTGAAGACTGTGCTTGTTCTGTCCTAGTTTCTAAACTTACCTGGAGCCTTGGCCAATTCCCACTGGAAATTGCATTTCAGCAGGAATATGTCCGAACTGTGGATGTTTCCAGCCTTTGGGACCCAGGTGCACCAACTGCAAACCATTTAGCACAGCACACAAAAGCATGCAATTAGTGGGGTCAATAAGCTCTCATGCAAAGCTCATTATTAAATTTTGCATGCCTGTTGATGACTGCCTATTTTGGCTTATTATGGATGTCAGAATTTAGGTGAATTTCTCAGTGGTTATATTTTAATAAATTACTATCCAATGAGCTTAAATGCCATGAAACACATAATCCCGGTCTCACCAACACATGGTTTAGGATATGGTGACAGAGTTTTTAAAACAGTGAAGGAATGCTATTAATAAACCTGAAAAGTAGTGAAATGTATTTCAAAGTTTATGATCATGGAAATTGGTGTTCATTGAAATTGTTAATTCTAAATTATTTTAGAATCCAAATACTTTTATACAATATTTTAATTTCAAAGGCACAATTCAGTTTCTTTCTTCCAGATAAGTTAATAACAAATCAATAAATATAAGTTGTATTTGTTTGTCTGTTTGTATCCCGCCTTTATTATTTTTACAAACAACCCAAGGCAGCGAACATATTAGCAACTAATCAGTCAATATTTTTTTTGTATTAGAAACTCCTCATAAAATGATTTGTTCTTTCCTTAACCCCAAGTAAGGAAATGCTCTGCATGGAATTCAGATATGTGTTTTTCAGCAAACATTAATTATTCTTCTATCTTTTTGTTTATGCCAAACCTCTGCTACATCAATAAGAGATTCCAGGAATTCAAATAAAGGCTTGAATGTTTTGGGGGTAAAAATTCAATGCCAAATGTTCATTTAGTAGTTAGGTTGGTGCTTAAAGAACATAGCACTGGGCTGCATGTCAGCAGAAAATACACCATACACACCATGCAGGATTCAGAGAATCATCTGAGTTTTTAGAATGGTGTAATTCATATCTCATGAATAATAGTAGAGTTTCACCCTACCTTCTGGTGGCATTTTCTTCGGTGGTGCTGAAGGAGGTGGCAGAGGCACCAAAGAGGTCACTCGAAAACCTGCTGGAAGAGTTTCTGCTGACCCACTAACCATGGTGATACTGTGAAAGTCTCGAGGGCGGAAGCGTTTTCGCCAAGAAGGAGTTCGCCGAAAAGTTTTGTCTTCACCCTATAAAGAAAAGGATACTTACATCATATATTGCACACAGTAACCACTGGAGACTATACAATCTCCAGAGGGAGATCAAAGATTAGGACAGGCTGTAAAAGCTGGAACTGGGTTAATTATTCATGGGTTTCAAGTAGAACCAGGCTTCTCAATACATATTTTTTCTTTTTGAGAAAATGTTTGAACTTCTTATCTCAACCTACTAGAAACAAGAAAGCAGAAATTTCTCCAAATAATATTCACAGTATACAAGTATGTATTGGTGGATTAAAGACGATGGTCACATCTAGCAAATCTATGGTTTGGAATTAGGTCCATAATTTTGCAATCACAACGTTGGATGAAACATTGCAAACAGGCTGTCCCACAGTTTGTCACTACTATCTCTTGCAGTGGCAATATGGGCAATCCTCAAGTTATGCCTGCAGTTGGGATTAGGATTGCCATTGCTAAGTGATGTGGTTGTTACAAGATAGCATCACTTAGTGCATGAGAGCAAAGGGAGGAAGAAGGGAGGGATGCAAGGAAAGTAAGTCCGGGTGTGGGGAGAGATAATTACTCAAGCAACTTACAATCTTCCCTGCTGGTGTACCATTGACTTCCTATGTGGGAAGCCAACAGGGGAGGTCACAAATGGCTATTATGTAATGTGGGACACTACAACTGGTCACCAAGTGTCCCAATTTTGTTCATGGGGCACTGCAACAGCCAGAACTTGGGGAACCAGTCATAAGTCCCATTGTTCAGTGCCCTCATTAACTTTGAATGCCAACTGAACAAATGGTAGTAACTTGAGGAATACCTGTAATGGAAATAGAAAAATAACAAAGAGGTATTCTACTTGCAGCTGAAGATAGCAGTATTTCCAAAGATCTTCAGATCTTTGCCCAGAGAAATTTAGGAACATATATTTTTCTTACTACTTTTTAGGAGTTGATTCTATGATACAGAAAATTAAATTTGTTTACAGAATTCGTTACAATGCTAGTTGGGGAATTCGAGGAACTTAAACTCATCAAGGTTGAGAAACACTGTCTCAGATTAGCTCTGTTCAGCTGAAACATTAACCTGAATTAGATGATCTATGCAGGGTTGTTGCGTATGCATTTCTTTAAAAACAAGGTTGCTGGAATTATTTTTGACAAGCAACTGTCCCTCGCAGATCTAAAGGAAGAAGAAATGGCATATGTTCTGCCAATCCTAAGGCTTTCTCTCTCAAGAAATAAGATGGCTTCATTTTCAATTCTTCCCCTCCACCTAATTTTATAATACCTCTCTCACCCCATGCATGTTTGCAATGTGGAAGTGCCCACTTCTACTTTTCCTCCATATAATTGAACATCACAGGGAACCTCCCAGAAAATAACTTCAATACCAGTCCTATTTCCAGATCTCCAGTTGCTTTCTAACTGATAGTATAAGCGTAGTATTTCTTAAATCTCCATCCTGTACTTTGCACTCACGTCATCAAGTCGTCTGTCAGTACCCAAGGCAAGAAGATTGTTGAATTCTCTCTCCATCACCTGTCGTGCCTGTAAACAATATCAAATAATGCAATAGAAATAATCTAAGCAAATAAAACTATTAATGCAAATTGTTTATTATCAGAACCAAAGAAGAAGATAAATTGATATTTATATTAGTAGATCTCTTCATACTTTTTGGTAGATCAGCAAGATTCTCCTAGTAACATAGGGGTAGGTTCCTATATATCTATTTCCATAACTCTAGTATATGGCATAGCAATTGTGGGGGACTACCAGCTCCAACTAGAGTGTTTTTACTGCATTTGATTTCACTCATCCATTTTTAACTTAATTCCTCCTGTTGGTAGAGCTTAGTGCAAATAAATTAGATCTCACAAACTAGAAGCTTATTACTCCTGATCCAGGCAAATCAATTGCCTCCATACAGTTCAGCATACTGTCTCTAAAAATAACAATACAAAATGCCTTTGGGAGTGTTAAAAAAAAAAGATGCATTCATCCATATCCTAAAATTCTGAAAATCAGAACTCTGGTTGGTTCAGTTCCAGAGGTGGTATTCAGCAGGTTCTGACCAGTTCTGGAGAACTGGTAGCAGAAATTTTGAGTAGTTTGGAGAACCGGCAAATACCACTTCTGACTGGAGATTTTACAGTACCCTTCCCCTGCCACACCCACCAAGCCACGCCCACAGAGCTGACAGTAAAAAAAAATTGATTCCCACCACTGTTCAGTTCTCATAATGGTATAGAGATTTCATAGACAGATTTGCAATGAACAGTAAGATAAACTTTCAGTCTCATAGACTCTGGTTACCCTTAAGAGGAAGAAATGTGTAACTGAAATAACTTATAGCACAACAAAGTAACTTTTATTGTATCATTTGTTTTAATTTAATAGTGTTAGATTAAAAATCCAAGAAAGATGTTCTTCATAAAGAACAAAAGGTTTATTCATTATATGAGAAATAACTATCAACTTTGTTGGTGTGAAACATTTCTTCCTACCTGTGTATTCTGAGTGGGAATTTGTAAAATAAGTGCCAGACTATTATAATCAAAATTTTCATCCAGAGCAATAAGTGCACCATGGACTCCACTTTCAATGATGTTGTTGGCATATTCTCTAAGTCCAATGGATTGAATCCAGTGAATTACTTGATCATTTGTCCAGACCAGCACATCTAGAAGACATTGAAATTATATACATAAATGAAATTACCCAGAAGAATGCTCACTTTTTCTGATCTGTTCATGACATAAAAAGAACAAAATACTGATGTAGTATCTAAAAATAGTTCATCTTGTGTATTCTAGTCATGATATTCTTCTAGTATCGTTTTTGGGGAAATAAGTCCCACTGTAAAATGTCAAACAAGTATGTGCTAATTTATTTATACACCAAAAATCTATATTTATACCTTTCTCTTGAATACATTTCTGAAAGATGTAGCAGGCAGAACAGAAGTGCTCCTGACATATGGCTGAGATTAACTACACAGTGAATATAAATGAACTCAATGAAAACAAATAGAGTAAAATTCAATAAATGAACAAGTTTAAAATGACATAAGCATCAGCTATAAAATCAGCAAAACCATGAAAAACAGAAATCCTGAGGCCCTTGGCAGTTACCTATACTTTAAGACTACAATCCCCCATCAGCCAGAATCACTTACAAGGACACATGAGCATGATATATAAAACAACTGGAAATATATTGAAATATAATAATATAAAAAAGATTAAAGTGATAAATCTGAGAGATTTCAAGCATAACAAATCCTGCTGAAAAATCAGTAATTAGAAAGCCTCCAGAGTATTTCCACTCTCTATAACTAATAAAACTGATTTTGTAAAACAGCATTGACTAAACAGGGGTCCATATTTCATAAAGTGAGTTGACTTTTCTGAAAAATAGAAAGAATAGGCTTTAAAAAAACTATAATTCAAAATCTGAACTACAATCATGTCCAGAGAACCAGGAACCTTATGTGGAGTTCTGAGTAGTTCCTTTATTGTTGTTCAGCCACAAAGAGAATATTACCAAATTAAAGCAATTAACTGCAATAATTATAGGTAAACCTCCAGAAGTTTGCCCCCAGAAATTGTGGGTGCTCCAACACTGGAGATTTTTAAGAAAAGATTGGACAACCATTTTGTCTGAAATGGTATAGGGTTAGAAAGACCTCCAAGTCAGTTATTCTGTTATACTTTGAGAACTACTAGGGAGGGTCCAACCTTACTGTCTTTCTGCCTCCAGACATTCCAAATTCTACTCTCACTTTGCCTTCTGGGAAAAACCCCCTACCTCTTGTGACTCCTGACTATATTCCACTATATAGTCTATTTTTGCAGCTTGCCTTGAATTCATTTCTAAATTGCTACTTGCCTTTGATTTCATGCTGGCTTTCTTCCCGCCTCTTCTCCAGCTCCTTTCTATCATAATTCAGTCTTTTGAGGCACATAATCCCATACTGGAGACTTGTTCTGCAACAATGCAACACTTAGAACAAGGCATATCAATTTTCCAACCATTTTTACTTTCAAGAGGTGTACATGTAAATGTGCATTTTTTTGCCTATGCCATAAATACATAGATATTTCTGACACTATGTCGAAAATACTGAACTGTCTACACTAATCCAATTTTCTGATTTTTGGCTTTAATGTAGTATAACCTGAGAGTTTACTAGTTATGGATATGCTACTACTCAGCCTAAAAAACTCTTATCATGCCTGTCATTATTGCTCTTCATTCAAAGGAAGGACTGATAAAAGCCAGAGCGTACAAGTTAAACTTCTAGGATCACATGCAATATATATTAATTACACATATTAATTGTGCTTAAATGATTTAAATGTAAACATAGAGTCACTCAGTGCTTTGGATTTAAAGACAAAAAGGTGAATAGAATAGGATAGGATAGGATAGGATAGGATAGAATAGAACAGAATAGAATAGAATAGAATAGAATAGAATAGAATAGAATAGAATAGGATAGGAGCTGGAAGGGACCTTGGAGGTCTTCTAGTCCAGCTCATGAAGCACTTTTACGCAACTACTTGAAGCAGCTTCATTTCTTTTTTCCATGGTTGCCTTTTGGAGCTGAAATGGATTCCTTAAAAAAGATGTGTTTGATTTAAAGAGTTTCAGACAACTGCTGTATTTGTATCCTGGCATGTTCCCAAACACTTTCTTGCCTTTGAATCCAAAGCACTGCACAACCCTGTTGAATAAAATGAAATCAGATTTGGGGGGTCTGTCCAGGATTCACCTCTTTTGGGAGTGTGGCCCTATTCTCCAAAGCAAAACCTGAAAAAAATTACACACCCTTTGACTATAGGAATGTAAGGTAGTTGTAAGAGTGCTTCAGACATTGTCCCAAGAAAACTTGCTCACCGATGGAAACTGTCTACCATCTTCAAGTGTACTCGAAGGTCTTTTTTAGTTAGATGATCCAACATTCGTGCATCCACAAGACATTCCATGAAGTAACTGCGATACTGTGGTAGACCTAGACTAGGAAGCCATTCATTCCCTATCCATTCATGGTTCATGTCCCCATAAGCCAGAGTCTGTGGAAATTTTAAAAAGAAAAAGCAAATAACATACACTAGACATACAATTGGGTTTTTTCATCTTGTTCAACTGTGTCCAATTCTCAAAGACTGGCTGAAAAAGTTCCTACAATTTTCTTGGTAAGGTTTTTCGGAAGTGGTTTCCCATTTCCTCCTTCCTGGGGCTGTGAGAAAGACTGCTGCAATGTCACCCACCTGGCTTTGTGTGTAAGGTAGGACTAGAACTGACAGTCTCTCAGTTTCTAGCCTGTTGCATTAATCACCACACTGAAGTGACTTTCACATGTAAATATACCTATTAGCCATACTGAAAGAATCCTGAGCTGAAAGCCTACAGATTGGAGTTAGAACATTTTAGTGGAAAAAAACTACTAGAGTTAATTGAAAATCTTCTTAGATATAAAATTCCTAGTGAAATATACTAGTGAGTTGTGCCACAGAAACAAATAATATAACAGCTTTAAAATGCTTCAAGATCACTTTCAGTCGATCTGAAATAATTCTATTACCTCAACAATTTTTATTGAGAAACAATTTGCAAACAAAAATTGTAACTTATAAATAATGTAGCTTCAAATACATTTTTCAATATATGACAGTACGACATACATTTGGCAGTTGTAACAAAATCTCAAATCGATTGCCTGAGTATTATTAACTATGCATATTATATGTTGTAATGTAAGTATACCACACTTCAAAAACCTTACACAAATAAAGCATTTATATTCTGTTTTCAGTACCTTAGGCACTGCATATTTTTTTAACAGTGCAACTTATCTAAAGGATATTTTTATGTGAATGTTAATTTTACTTGAGTCTGGAGACACGTGAAATAGGATTTTTTACATGCTAAGCACAGAATTAATAAATAAACAACTGAGTTGCTGGAAAATTTGGCTGAGAAGATCTTAGTTGTGTGGGGAAACCAGAAGAAAAAAGAACCTGACTAGGTATAAGAAATGCTAAAATTAAATGAAAAGCATCAATAAAATCAATATAGCAGGTTTAATATGTTGATATCCTTGGAATTAGCTATTATTAAAAGAAATATGACTAGCTTCCCATCTGGATAAAATAGTAAGGTAGTACAATAGCAACCAAAAGGAAGTATAGGAAGATTTTCAAATATTCTGCATTTGTTCCCATTATTCTCTAAGGGGATCTTAAATGAATCTAGAGAAACTGCTCAAAAAGATAATTTGGTATAATCAGATGGTACGTAACTCCATTTCGCTGGAAATTATTGAGTTTTGTATTTCCAGTACAGAGGGGGGGAAAACCCACAAAATAATGCAGGAGTCTCACCTGTGCCCAACTGCCTTCCTCAGTATCCTAAATGTGACAGTGCAGCATGTCAATAAAATGAGTAAAGTCAAATATCACATGAAACCACATTTGTTTCTCCCCTTCCCCAATAAAGCAGAGGCATTGTCTGTCATCAACATGATCAAAAAAACTATCACATAAATACAGTTACAAGTAAGAGGCTCCCGTTATTCACCATTTCTAATTTAGAGGATCTCTTAGTGTTTGGCATTTTGATCTCTCAAGAATATGCTGAAGTTTTGAAAACAGACAAACAACAAACAAAACTCTCAGTTAATTATTCTTGTTCTTAAGGAGCTAACAAAATGATGACCAAATTGGTGGCCTTACAATTGGCTTTGCCCAAATGCTGACTTTTTCATTGCCACTAAGCACAACAAATGTATTTCTTTTGCTTATGGATATAAAGAAATATTTATACTGCATTTTCTGTCATAATAAACCACTATTTGTTCCCATAGCTGCAAACAGATTTAAGCAAAATGCCATACACAGTCATCAAAATGCACTAGATATTTAAAGCTTTGATATCTATATGAATAGTTAAATAGACAAAAAGATCATATAGGTGAACATGTTTCTCTTGTTCCTGTCTAAACACAGAAGTTTTTATTTCCGTATATAACATACTCATTTTTTATATAATGCACTCATTTCCACTTGAATAAGAACAACTGATCTATCCACTGACTTGCTCTGGCACTGACATACGACTATTACGGTAGTGCAGTAAGCAAAATAGCTGTTACAGCCAACCTAGTGCCAGAACACATCACAAAAGAGCCCCTTAGTAGAGTAAATCAGTTGCTATGCATTTACATTCAGGTTGGCTTTCTGAACATGAAGTAGATCATTTGTATCAGATAGGAAAAGGCATATTTGGAGTTTTGGCCACTTCAGCCCTGTCTTTCCAACTGTTTTCAGAATTTCCAACATGGCTTGGAACAATTGATATTACTCCCTTATGTTATCTCAATTATTCTTCTTTTCTAAACCAAAGGATTCAACTGCTTGGTAAAAATGGAGCTTTCATATTCTTTTTAATCAGAAGCAAAATTATTTTCCTTACAGAGAGGACAAGATGGCAGAATTCTCTTAGAGACAAAAAAAAAATACCATTTTGGTTGAAGGAGCCATGGTTTCCATTTCTTCATGAGTAACCCAGACATTTCCAGATGACTAGGATGAAAATATGACATATATGAATAAGAAAGCAAGGAATATTCAATAAAACTTTTCAACTCAAAACTACTGCTGTGGCCATAGCTTAAGCCATAGAATCAATCATTGTAACAATGTCAAAAACAGTTAAAAGCTCCCTTGAATTGAACTCAATGCCTGGAAACAACTTTTATTTTACACAATATGGAAGTAGCTTGCATTATTGCACAATATCATAGCCTATAGCCTTAGAATCTCTTAAATGTCTTCTATCCAAATACCAGGGGCATCTGGCATCTTGACTTCTTTCCTAACACCCTGCTGACACCTCTGTCAAATACTAATTATGGTTTTGTAATAGATATTTTCTCCCAGCTGGTAAACATGGACTGTTGTAGTATCAAGCTGTTGTAGAGTGAAAGAAGTACCTTTCAGAAGTTCCACATTAAAAGATCTACAACTATAGTCCGTTTCTCCAATTTTCAGCATATTTTACCTCTCTTCCTGTGGGTCAGTACAGGAAAGGATCTCAATACATATTATTCCATACATTTCTGCCTATAGTATTAACATTTCTCACACAGCAAGCAGGGAACACAGAGCAAGTAGATCATTACATTTCAGGAAGAAATAGGCATTGTACACCAAAACCCAACCCATCTTGCAATAGCTATCATAGCTGCTAATAATGCACATTTAAGTTGGCCAGAAAGTCAATTTACAAATGGGAATAATAACAATAACTCAGCACTGCATATAAAGCTATTGTGAAATAATTTCTGGCAAGTATAGAGAAATGAAAAAGGCACAATATCCTTTACTGATTTTACAAATATATATTACAATGGGACAGAAAGGGTACGATACACTTTACTTTTTCTGAGGAAAATGGAAGTTTCAATTTCCATCAGAATCCTAATGAGGACCTGCAGTCTCAAGTCTGACTAAAGGACTATGTGTTTCTTTTACTTCTATTCAAATGCTGGTTCTTAGTGTTAAATTAAAAAAAGCCCACATTACACATCCCAAGAAGCCAAGATAGAGTGCTTACTGTTCTGGAGGTGGGTGGAGCAGAAGGGCTTGTGAGAGACACCATTTCCTGGATTGCCAAGCGCAGTTTTAACCTGTGAAGGGCATTACTAATTCCAATTTCCCTCTGGATCTCTGTATCTGACAAGGCAGACATAATTGCACCGCTTTTCACATTAGCTCTGCAAGCTGCAACATACCAGGCAGGCATGCCCACCCAAAGCTACAACATAAAAGGACAGAGATGAGTGACAAGATTTTGACTAAATATTAAATTCTTCTTATACTTACGACATTCATTCTTATGACATTATATATTTCTTCTATCATCTCTACATTTCATGGTATAAGATACATTATGCTGAATTATTAACATTTGGGAAGGGTACTCAAAACAACAATATTCAAAAAAATATCTATGCTCTATATTTATATACTATTTTCAACATTTTTATTTAAATTTCAAGGATCCAAAAAGAAAAATAGTTCTCTTATTAATATATATATATGTATGTATGTATGTATGTATGTATGTATGTATGTATGTATGTATATGTATGGCATTCGGCTTTGCTCAGGTATTTTCCCACGTCATAGTAGCTGTGCTTTTAAAG